AAGGTCTTTCTGCTCCTGTGGTGCCCAGTTTTGGCTCCCAGGTCTCTCCAGCTTGGCAGGGGACACGAGAACCACGCAGCTACTCCTGCGCAGCCCCACGGGGGTGAGGGGCACCAGACCCCCTCCTGAGACAGGGGGTGCCGAGTGTCTGACACACTGCAGATTTTTTCCTCTCTTGCTTAGCCAGTGAGTCTCCCTCAAGTTTATTTTTGTGGTTTCAGAGCCACATTTCTCCAAGAAGTCTCAGGGACAGGGTTTGAGCTGAATTCTTCTCAGCCTCCCTTCCCCTCCAGGGGTGTACGCAGGACAGAGCAGTTCCTGTACCCCCTCCACGTCCCACAGAGGTCACTATCCTGCTTCAGGGGCTTTAAGGACACCCAGTAGCTGCATTAATTCAATTATCTAAAGCAGATAATGAGCCAACCTCCCCCAACACCTCACTTCCTACCTCCCTTAAAGGTACAGCTGTCCCACAAGGCCCAAGACTCAGGTTGGATTTTGGCATTTCCCCTCCCTAGGCTACTCCTGTCTCTAAAACAGCTGAAGCACAAAACTGTTGGGGAAGGAAAAAGAACTAGAACTCAGATCCTGTGTGTCAACTGATGTCTGGTGTGACCTTCACACCAGCCCTGCTTTGGGAAGGAAGAAAATTCAGATGTTCCCACATGTTCTGATAGGTAATTTAGTGATGGAAACACCCTAGACGTGCTCCCCTCACTCTTTCAGATGGAATAAAAAAGGAGGAAAACTGTTTTCAACAGCAGCATGTGGAAAAAGAAACACTTTGTCAGCTCCTCTAGAAGCATTTGGTTTACCTGGGCAATGCTGGTTGGGATTTTTACATGGATCTGAGGCCCCAAAGGACACCTCCTCTTATTTAGGCTGACTTCACACGAGTTTTCCTCCCTTTGCACCATTTCATATCCCCCTTGTCCTTTATCAGTGGGTCATACCTGGGTCATGACCCTCTTCAAGCCATTTCCCCAAGTACTCCCCCCACCACTGGAGCAGAATATATGCAGGGGAAAAAAAAAAAAAAAAAAAAAAGAAATAAAGTCCAACCAGTTTATTTAGAGAAATTGTTTCTTTAATTGTCAGTCTGGAAGCCTGTGATGGACACAGGCTCGAACCGCAGAGGACAGAGTGCTGGGAGCTGCAGCCAGGCCCAGAAGTTGTCACATAGCAAAGAGGATGAGGAATGCCACCATCAAACAGAAGAGACCCATGGCCTCAGAGAGGGCAAAGCCCAGGATGGCGTAGGAGAAGAGCTGCTGCTTGAGAGATGGATTCCTGCGTGGTGGATGAGAGGGAACCAAGGAGAGAGAGAGAAGGGGGGGAAATAAAAAAAGCATCCACAGTGAGATAAAAACCCCAAACCAGAGCCTGTATCACAGAAGAGCACAATTATGCCACACAGGCAGCAGGTTCTGTGGCACAAATGGGTTTTACAGCAGGCAGACAGTGGTTGGAATGAGAGAGTCAGTTTCCCCTTAGGTTTTAGTGGTGTAGTTGTGTGGAATCTGCCTGGGTGGTACCAAGTTCCTGCTAACAACCAGTGCTGCGTTTCTCCTAGAGGCTGGCAGAGCTTTGAGGTATGGACAGGGTGGATTCAAACACTCCAAATTTATCACACTAATGGCTCAGAAGCTCCATTTTCCACTTCCGAGGAGCACCGCTCCGGGTGAACGCAGCATTATCTCCTCAGATATACACCAGGGGAGCTGGACAACCCCCAGAGAAAGCCTGCTGAATGCAGCAGTGAGGAAAGGACTGAAGTGAAGGCGGTGTGACCCTCCACTTACCTGGCATAGCCAATGATCAAGCTGCCAAAGACCGTCCCGATGCCCGCCCCCGACCCGGCCACGCCGACGGTGGCGGCACCGGCCCCGATGAACTTGGCGGCGGTGTCGATGTCCCTGGAGACAGCACTGGTCTGAAACTGGCGGCTCCGCTGCGGGGGGGACACGCCAGCAGGCTGGGGGATCCAGGAGAAAGGTGCCAGTCAGATTTTTCATTGTCCATGTAAAGGTTTTCTTTAACGAGCGTCCCCCCAAGTCGGTCGCGCCACCGCCCATCTGGGCTGGAGGCTGCAGCTGTGGAGGAGCCACCCTCACGCTGGCCAAATTTACTCCTCCATTGAAGAAGGAGCCAGCAGGGAGCAGAAAGGGAGAGCATAAAAATGAAAGATCTCATTGAGCACAAAAAGTCTCACCTGTATAGTCTGAGCCTCAGGCCTGTTGAAAACAGACACGGAAACTGGTCTGGCCAGAGCCCTGGAGCAGCACCGGAACTGAAGGAAAAGACAAAAAAATCCTCTAATTGGATCCCTCTGCACTAATCCTCTGAGAAAAGCAGTTATTTTAAACATCTCAAGAAGGAAATAAAAGCCTAAAAAGCCAAGGCATGGGCAAGTCTAGAGGATTTCTAGTTTAGCCATTAGATTCACTCCCCGAGGGATGGCACCAGAGACCACACGCCGCAGGCCAGCCAGTGTTGTACCTGCTACAGCACTTCAGGCACTGCTACAGCTCCAAATCTCCTTCCTGAATTCATACCTCGAGAGAAAGGGCTGACTGAGTGCCTCTGGGACCCTTCATTTATCTTTGGAGAAGCCCCTGGGCCTGGTACATCTACTACAATGGGCAGTGATCACCCTCCAGTCACCAGAGGTCACCTTGTTTCCCCTCCATGTTAAATCCTCGGTAAAACAAACCCAAACGATCCCACTTCGGCCGAGGGCACCCAGGGCAGCGTTTTGAACCAAGCACCACGGAAAAAGGCTCCATGCCCTGTATCCTCACTAAGTGCTACCACACTCCTCCAGAGAAAGGCGACTTACGAGAGCCGGGGAGCCGAGGAGCGCCACAGGAGCCTGCATTTTGCTTAACCTATTACAAAGAAATGAAGAAAGAAAAAAAGAATCAGGAATTGAGGATCCCGCC